AGATCCCAGCTCGGTTCTGGTTCTTTCTGCCACAGGAGATTGCAACAATAGATAAAATAATGTCTGTGTATCTCATTCTCTCCACACTAGCCTTGATAAAAGAGGAAGCAAAAAAGTGTAAGCACCACCTGCAATGACAGACTTATAGACTTCTGCTTGTCTCTGTCGCTGTTCCATGTATTATATTACTCAAAGTTCAACTGCCAAACGGACCTTTTTTTTTTAATTCAACTTTTTAGTGAGCAACCAGTTGTTTTTTGAGTTTCCGATTGGCAGTATTAATCACTTCCTATTGGCTGATAGGAAGAGCTTTTCCTTTCGAAATGGCACATTCATGTTCTGTGGCTTTTCTGTTTACACACATTTTACTACCTTATGTCAACACTTGCTAATGAATAAATGTATCATTCCACTAACTGAAAATGAGGTCCTGAAAAGGTAGATTGGAAGTTTAAACCTGCTAATAGTTTAAACCTTAATGTTTCCAGGAAACTAAAGGCAATCATTATTCTTCTTTCCTATAGGTGTATAGCCCCTCCTGATCCCTTTACAAATTAGTTTATGCCCTATGCAAAAGTCATTATTAGGGAAAAATTACATATGCAAATTTTAGCATGTGAAGGTTCTATCAGACCATTCTGTTATCCATTTGATAAACTGACTAAATGATAACTCTTTTTCTAACAACCACAAAATTCTTTACTACTCAATAGATTCTTTGCCTATGTAAAGAAACAAAATCAAAGCAACTAGTAAATGCTTACTGCTTATAAGGGATATAGGATATAACAACACTGATATCTCCACATTAAGTAGTGAACACTTGTCTAGTGTTTTTTCATGCTTAGGCAAAATATTATATGCTCTGTAATCCATTCATTTATTTAACAGCTGTGCCTGTTTCCACATGGCACAGAGAAAACTCCTTAAGTTAATCAGAGTTTACAGTGGAAAAATTGAACTTTGTTAACAGCAGCCAGTACTGAAAGACACTAAGTACTTTCCTAAAGAGGTGCACTGGCTAGGGCACCTTAATTTCAATAAGAGATGATGTTACAAGAGACATTCTTGTGGGATGGGGCCCCATGTCCATATCCCAATTTCCTAAAACATCCTCATACCCTACAGCAAACCCTTCCCCCTTTTAAGAGCATTTACTGAAAGACACTTTAAATGGAAAGAGAAACTTACCAGGCAAGCCCCTTGGGGTTTTAACACTTTTTGAACTCCGGAAACTAGCCAACCCCAAACTGAATAGCAATAATTTTAGAAAATCAGCTATTTTAGAAAAACAGCCCTGAAACTGTTCTATGGGAACAAACCTATTTTAAACTCCCTTTTTAAAAGTAAAGTACTAGGTTGCCATATGGTGCTGCATAACTTTAGGACACAAACAGAAAGACTATAATCAATATAAGACTATAATCAATATAATCAATAAGTTCTATAATCAATATTTTAGATTCAGTCATCTTCCAAGAGATATGAAGGTGGAGCTCAGCACCTCCCTGATTTTAGCCCCATTTCCGATTTTCCCTAAATCTGTCTCCTCCTTCCAGGATGCCAGTCCTATTTATCTAACACAGGGCGAGCTTGCTGCCAACCAGAAGTTTATGCAGACAACCGCAACAGAGCTTGGTGCCAGCCTCAGATGGGCTTCTGCCCTGGCACTGTGCCATTGGATTACAAGCAACAGGCATGAAGAGCTGTTAGAAACTTTTAACTCTCCTCCATATTTTTTTAAAATTTGATAATAATTACAGGTGCTTTAAAAAAACATTTATATACAACCAGATGTGCCAACAAAATCTAATGTCCTTTTGCTGTACCTTATACCAATCCAAGATCATTAGAATTCAAATACAGTGAATTGACAAGTTATGCATTTTCACTTAATACTTAACAATTGTAAAGTCTTAGGAAGACTTTATACATTTTGTAGATGTTCATTAAGCAAAACTGGCAAAACCTACCCTTCACATTATTTTTATGGGCATTCCCATTCTGAGTTTTCAGGTTTCTTGGTACAAGCACATCTAATAAAGTCAACAATGTAAAGGAACTACTTACTATAGTTTCTGGGTTTAAAAACTAGAGGTTTTCTTAACCAATGTATATATTAAATCATTTGGGGTGGCAATGGGTCAAAAATCCCACTGAAACAGCCAAAAAGTGAAATGCAGCAGAAATCGAACAATGGAAGGAGACATATCCCCTGACAAAGGCATGTTTTCCCTTTTTATCTGAAGACAGTAGCCTACTTTTTAAAAGTCTACTTACCAGTTGGTTTGAGAAAATCCATTGGATATCTGGAGTAGGGTGGAGGGGGAGACTCTGGAATTAGAAAAGCACAGAGAAAATAAAGGCAGAGCCATGAGAAAAAAAGATAGGAACTTATGATAACAGTGGCATTCTTTTAGCAAAACTGTTTGTCTTAGCTCTGGGGGTTGGAGGCAGGGCAGCTAGGCGGTGATTGCCTTGATATTTAGCTGTCAGATAAACAAAAGGGGCCGCCTGGCGCCAGTCTCCCTGCTATCTGCTACTCTGGCTGTCTGATCAGGGCCTCCTTGGCTCGGCTAAAACACTCCAGCACTGGAAATCACCAACTGATCCAGACTGCCAGATAATCCTTGCTAGCTGCACACACATTTAACATTTCACAGAAAAGAGAAAAAAGGGCAAGAAAAAAAATCAAGTATTGCCAATTACCTCTGCCCTCTCCCACTTCTCCCCTCTACTCAGAACTGGATGATTTCTATTCTACACCAACTAAGCAAAGTTTACAAGTAATTGCAATGTTTAAAGACGGGGAGGGGGAAATGAAATGCAAGTCAGAGATCGCTCTTTTAGGCCATCGGGTAAATAACACGGGAGTTAAACGTGCCAAAAAAACCCTATTTCCATTAACCGACAAAAAGGCACTGAAAACCTTTTTTTTGTTTTGGTCCCGGGCGGATAACTTTTCTGAGTCTTTTCTGCTGACTGGAGGGAGGCGAGAGAAGCATGCTTCCAAAAGATACACTGCAATCCTTAAACTATGCGTTCTCATATTAAGGGGGGAATTTGCGAACCACTAGCGTCCAAAAGTTGGGTTGTTGTGTAAATCCAAGACTGGCTGGAAATTCAGTTATTAAACCTAAACTCCAGGGATCCATTTCCCAAAGCAAAGCAGATCTAGATTATGCACGTCTGGCTCGTTCGCCGGGACCTCTCTGCAAATTATCAACCCTCTCTAAAGCAAAAATTCACTGCTGAATATCGTTTGAAAGGTTCAAGGCATCTGAAGGGTTACAGGGTTTCCTTTTTTGTACACAGCCTTCTCCATATAGACAACAGTGAACCACATCCTTGTTTTACTGCAGGTAGAAAAAAAAAAAGGAAACCCGCTGTGCAAGAAGCGCCTTGCAAGGGAAGAGGCCGGCTAAAAATTGCAACCCGAACTCCAAGCACCTTCCTAGGGTGACGTGCGAATTTTGCCAGAGTAAAAAAACCTGGAAGCCTCGGCTATTGTGTGACACAAACGCGGACAATAGACGCTGATTATCCAACCATCCTCAGAACCAGTGTTGGACTCCCACCCCTATGTCCCTATTTTCTGTGCATACGGCAGTTCCCGTGTTCCTACCCGCTCACCCACCCCAGCTCGGGAGTTTCCCACCCGTGCACATGCCTGCCCTCCGGCGTACCTAGTTCACAGAGCCTGGTGAGGTGGTGGGGATTGCAGCAAACCAGCTCCGGGTGAGTTTTTCCATAAGATTCACAGCAACATAACCTCTTCACTTCCGAGCAATGCCTGAGATCGGGCCACCTGAATACTTTACACAGCAGCAAAGGGAGCGAGTACCAATGCTGGCCCAGTTTGGAGTCCACCTTGCCGGGCAGGAGGAGGCAGGAGGTCCGCGTGCCCCCTTTGGATTCCACCGCTTGCAAGAGCACCTCCAGCTGTTTCTCCTTCAGCCTCTTCAGGACCGCGTGGGTCAGCGCTTTCAATTCCGCCTCCGAGCCGAGGTGAGCTTTGCTGATCTTCCCCGACTTGCCCATACAACAGCCCCGGCCGCCTCCAGCCCCATGCGCCCGGCTGTCCGCTCCTGGTTCCCCGGGCTCTCCTTCCTCCTCCTCCCCGCCGGGCGCACGGCTCCTCCAGAGTCGCCGGACGAGCACCGATCGTTTGGTCCTGAACATGCGGGACGAGAAGAAGGTTTCCCGGCTAAAAAACGAGCATGTCGTCCGCAAATCATGAAGAATCCGGGATCCGAGTCCAGGCAGCCAACACAAGCAGCCTGAAATGATAGGGATATAGTGGGGAGGAGGGTTGGTGGCGGTGGAGGTTGTGGAAGAGCCAAAGCAATCTGTAACATACGCCAGTCTCTTACAGGGCTGGAGTTGTTCCTGTCTCTCTTAAATCCTTCAAAAAGCCGCTGGAAATCCTACAGTTTCATACAGATCTATTCAGAATTTCTCACCAACTACTTCTAAATAGGAACTGGGAGAACAGAAACTAAAAGAGATGGGGTGGAGGGGAGAAATCAAATGTTCACTGTATCAGAAGAATTGCAGAAAACATGCTCCCCCGTCAAAGAGATAGGGGAAGAACAGATCTTCTTGTGTTGCAGGTCTGTCAAAGTGATTGCAAAATCTCTAGATCACATTTGGTTTCAGATGAGGATGACTGTTTTAGATAAAAAAAAATCAAGATGTTCCCCATCCCCCAAAAACTGTGTTGCAAAACGAAGGCACACGATTTAAAAAAAAAAAACCCTATTTCCTTAGTAATAACATATCCATAGATTCCATAAAAATAAGAGTTTTTTGGAAGGGGACTGGGAAAAAAGGATTTTCTACAAGAGGGGGTGGATTTTTAAAAAGAAAGAGCCAAAAGAACTCATAATTTAAAAAAAAAACTAAAATGTGGACGTCTGAATAATCACAAAAACTTACATTTTTTTTAAAAAAAATGCACCCAAGAATGTTACATCCTTTTTAAAAAAGCGCCCAAGTCTTCCTGATGCTTTTTCCCCTTCTTCTTAGCAAAGATTTTAATCCACACACCAAAAAAATCGTCGAGGCGGCTGCTAAGATATATATATATATATTTAAAAGTGGGAGTCTCTCTTCCCTTCCAAAAGGCTGGTTCCGCTCCCCTCTCCCTGGCTGCCTTTCAGAAAGACCAGGAGGTAGGGACAGTTTTTCTTAAAATACAGTTGCCCCCACCTCTCCTCCCACCCAACCCTTACAAAATAAAAGGACGGATGGGTGAGAAGTGGCAGGGGTGATCCTATAATGAATGACAGGCGCTGAAATTATCACCTGCCCCCCCCCCCTTCAGTCTCTCTTCTGTCTCGCTCTTTCTCTCGCTAGTACATGCTAATGCAGCCGTTCGCTCTTCTTCCTTCCCTTCTGGCTGCAGCTCTCCTCCTCCAAGGCAGCCTTTCCAGTCCTTGCATCGGCTATCAACACACACGGGGGAAAAAAGCAGCTCCTTTTGCTTGGCTCGCTTGGGTTGCTTTGCCTTTTTTTTTCCTCCTTCCCCTCCTTTTTCCACTCCCTTCTTCCTTCACAGAGCGCTCATTGCAGAAGATTCTGTCTCTCCCCACACGCACACACCTTTTTCTTCTTCCTTCCCTTGGGCGACAGGGGGAGTTCCTTGTCTTTTGGAGGGGGTGGCCTGCGAAGAGGAGGGGGGCTCCCAAGTGAGGTGGCTATTACCTAGCAGTGTCCATAGCCTTGCAGCCGTCCGCCAGCTCGGCTCTCTAGCCAGCCAACAGCCTCCTCCTCCTCCTCTCCTTCCCCCCTCCTCGCCGCTTTGCCTCGGTGACTCGCAGTGCGCAGTATCGCTGCCCAGCCCCGGCCCCCAATCACGTGGGCGTCTAGACACCCTGTCGCTTTAAAAAAAAAAGTGATTGTGTTGCGCAAACAACAGATCGGGTTTCTAAAAGCTATTTTTTTATTTCTGAAGTCTGGAGAGCGAGGAGGGGAGCGGGTAGGGGAAGTGCATAGAATTCACATCACATTCAAGAAATACATTAATTTTCTTTAAAAAAAAACCAAACCACGATCAAGATACAGTGCACCAAGGAAATAATTGCTCATGGAGATGAACTCAAGAGGATATTTATCAGTGAGATGCTGCGGTGAGGGGTAGCTTGCTCGATATTTGTATCGACAGGGTTTGCTTTCACATTCAAAAAAAGAGTTTGCAGACTCAGTTTGGGCTTTTTTGTTTTGTTTTTCTGCATGCTGGATTATTACTGTAATTTGTGGCTCTCTTTGCATTGAAGTTACTGGCAGATTTGTTTTTAGTTGGGGTCAGGTGGAGCTGTGCATTGGGCCCTTATTAAAGAGACATATATACGAGGTGCTTGCACAAAGGATGCAAAAAGATGGTTTTTCAGATGGGTGAGAAAAGAGGGTGTAGAAAACACCCAGAAAAAGTAAAACAAAGATCCTGAAATAGGATTGTTTGATGCAGTTCCCTGTGTCTGTCCAAAGGCCCTGTATCTGACCACAGGAGGGGAGGCCTACAACTGTGGTTGTGTAAAATAAATAAATGCCATAATAAATTGCAATTTTTAAAAAATCTATAAACTAAATCAACAGTTAATTTGTAAAGCCAAAGAAAGACATTAGGTAAAATGTAATGAAAACACTTTGCACTTGTACAGCACTTGTCATCAGAGGATCTCAATGGTGGGTAAGTGTAATTAACCCTTTCTTACAAGTGAGGAAAATGAGCCATGGATATTAATAAAACATCATCACAACACTTTGCACTATATAGTGCAATGCTTCAAAGAACCTGACATTTTTAATAAATGAAGCCTTTCATATCCCCCATCAAGTCAGGCTTACTATGCCAGTTTTGCAGAGGGGTAAACTGAGACACAGTGGTTATATGTGATGACACAGCACTAGAGCTGGAGACCAACCCAGATCTAGTGCTGGGCTTTAATCCTGAAAATCACAATCTTGCAAACACTGACATAGGATTTAATAGGATTATTCATGTGTGCAAGTGTTGCCAGAGACCAGGCCCAGACCAACAAGTGAGTTGCTTAAGGTCATATTGTAAAGTCAGTTGCAGAGTTGGAAACAGACCCATGTTTCTAAAATCACATGCTCTGAACACTAGCTACTATAAACAAACCTGATTCCAAAGTAATTTCAGTGAAATAAACAAGACAAAACCCATAAAACACAGACAGCCCAAGAGTTATTATTCTAAAACGTCCTAGAACATACATACTGTAGATGCACTGCATTCCTGGAATTGACTTCTCCAGGTGCATTGGATGCACAAAGAATGCAGACTCAAATGTAGTAGGCCTTATCCTGCAAATACACACCTCAGGACTCAATACTCCAATGAAACTATTCACATGCACAAAAGCTGTTTGTGTTACTGGCAGGATCAAGGTAGTTGGAAGCCAAGCCTGTAGAACTGTCTTGAAAAATTCTAGTGAAAACATACCATCCTGGGAATAAAACCTATTCACCTGTCCTTTGTCCCTATGATTGGTTTGTCCTTTTTTTTTTTTTTTTTTGCTCAGGGCATTTAGGTGAAGAATTTATCAAGGCTGATTTATGGCTTTATAGGGAAGGTAATCAGAGGATAAACACCAGAAATTTCACCCTGAACAGTTGGACTTTTTGTTCTGCTTCTGTACCAAGCCCAGTAGGTTCCATGCTTAGGGTTCCTAGGTGCTACAGAAATATACATACATACATAAAATTATATTTCAGAGTAAATATAAGCTTTTCTTAACACATGGGCCACCACACTCCGCAATTTCTGAACAGTGCAGCCCCATGGAGAGTGCATTGCAGTAATCTAACCTTGAAGTAACAAAGGATTAATGGCCATATAGTGCAGCCAGGGCATCAGCTTTTAAGTTTGCTGCACTTTCCAGTACAGTGCAATTTTTTTAATGGTCACTTCGGAGACTTGAAAAATTGAAAATAAATTACATTTCTTTCTTTTAATATCTCTTTCATGAGCCTCAGAGGTGACCTTATTTTTTTAAACTGTCTCCTCTTTTTATTATAGCAGTGTAGAGAATCTCAAAACCTTTTATCACTGTGGTATATATGATAAACTGAGAGATACTTTCCCTGCTTCTGCTGATACTGAAAGACCAGATTAGATAGACACACCTATTACCATGTGCATTACATTCTTGTTTTATGTCAAAAGCTGTCCAAACTACTATAAATGAGGTGGATTCAAACCATTTGTTCACGGTGAATAAGGGGTATAATTTTTCCTTTATAATCATCACTTTTTCTATTGTGATTTATGTTTGCATTATTAGTTATTTTGATAATAGTAATGCAGAGATTCCTATATTTACAAACCAGAGTGACAAGAATGGTAATTAGCAATGTGCTGTGCCAGGACAAAATGTGGTCCAATGGACAGAGCACAAAACTGGAACTCAGGTGACTTGGGTACTTCTTCCAGCTCTGCTACTGATTTTGCCACTAGCTTCAATAGAAACCTCATCTTTTCTGCACCTCAGTTTTTCTATCTGTGAAATGGGGAAACAAATATTTATCCTCCTTTGTAAAGTACCTTGAGCCCTGCAGGTGAAATTTATTGTATTATTTGGAATAAATTAATTATTTAATTGTCCTTGTATGGCTTTATTAAATGTCACAAAGAAAAAGATTAAATCAATAATCAATTAAAAAGTGCAAATATTTTGTGTTTTTAACTGTTTTTTTCACTATTTATCATACAATCAGGGGCAGGTTCTTCCATATTATACCTCTTTCAATCATTAATTCCATGTCTTATTTTTCTAAAAAGCTAGATTTAGATGTACTTAGGGAAATGGACATGTGTCTAAAATGGAAAGAATAAAGAAGTATGTGTTCTCTTTTTTTAATAGTTACTGTATAAAATCTGACTTGTTAGGCCAAACCAGTACATTTAAATCATATAAATAAGCCCATTAAAGCATCCCCTGATTTTACTGTATTTATTCGTTGGCAAGTAGATGTGAACCAAATACGTCCTCTTCTCCAAGAGCGACAGTTAGGAAGCAAAAAAATGCATGTTGAAATATCCTGGGGAAATGACAATGTCATTCAGATAATGGAGAGGGTGTCATCAACCAGTGTATCTGTTCAATTTACTCTTGGGTGTGAAACTCATCTCTAATACAACTCCAGGGAATGGGATAAACTTATCCCTTTGACTTTAAAGGGCCTAATTATCTGATTTAAATAAACTGGGTTTGGACTAACAAACAGACAAAAATTTCTCAACTATGTGATCTGTAGGTTAATTTAAAGCTGTTTTTCCAACTTGATTTATTTTTAACAAGAGAAAAGTAATTTGTACATATGAATTAAATCCATCATCAAAAATATGGACAAATACATTTGATTATGGAAGTGAAATCAAATACAAAATAAAAACTATACCTTTTCTTTCCAGACACTATTCATATGGAGGTTTCTGGAGACTTTCCTGTTACGCAATTGTCTTTGAAAAGTTAAGAGTGATAAACTGGAGTTAATTTGCATTGCAATTCAGCATTTGACAGACAGTTGGAGCCAGGGCACTGTTAACCTAATTGCTTTTTTAACAGCACCAGGGTGAGAGAGAGAGAGAGAGAGAGAGAGAGACACACACACACACACACACACACACACACACACACACACACACACACGATAAAATGAGGCGAGTAAAATCTTTTCTGACATCGTTACTAGACACATATAAACAAAGATGATCCATTTTCGTGGTCTTTCTGGGCTAGGATTGGATCAATAACAAATATTAATTATTTTTCTCTTTTGGGAATAGCTCTTGGTGATAATATTTACAAATACTGTAACAATAAGTAGGAAGGAACAAGCCTGTCTGGAGAGAAGGCAAGAAAGAAAATGGAGATTTCATGTACTTGAGTGGCACTCCATGCAGATTAAAAGATTTAAAATAGTTAAATTTGCTTCAGTTATAAATGTTTAATTTCAGAGGCTTGCAAACAAGGTTCAGAGTGAGCTAGAATGTCATTTTTGGCACTTTTCTGCTTCTTTCTCAGTCTCTGCAGCTTTCATTTAAATAGCAAATAGACCTTATGACTGCAAAAAAAAAAAAAAAAAAAACCTCAGTGTGACCTGATGCAAAGTTGTCTTCCTGAGTCTACAAGAGAGACAAACAATACATATTAGAGAAGTGTGAACCTGACCTTATTTACCCTCATAGGGCATTAAATTTGTTAGGATAATATAATTTGATTGTTGATGCTAGAAACTACCTGGGGGCTTTTTATTTTGAGCTAACATACTTATCCAGTGTGATTGAATGCCACAGAAATTAAAGATAAAAAAGGCCTATTAGGACACTGTCCATCCAGTCAGACTAATACCTATTCCATACAGTGTATTTGCCAGTATTTTGTCCATCTAGCTGCAAAGGGCTCAAGTGACAAGAGTTTCACCTGTGAGACTCTTCTACAACCAGTTATATATCATCATTGGGATAGTTTTTCCTGGTTCCCTCCCACTCCCAGCTCTGGCCAGGGTAAATTTTTCTTTCCTTAATTTAATCTGATTGCTTCTAATGTTACCCTTCGGCTCCCAATCCAGGAATGCATTTATACACAAGTATAAGTCAAACACATGCTTACTTTTTTAATGTCCTTCAGAATTGTCTACACAGTTTTTGTAATGCTTTAATGATATCAGTTTAAGGTCAGATAAATGGGATCACCAAATGAGATTAATAGGTAGCAAGTTTAAAACAAACAAAAGGAATTATTTCTTAACACAATACACAGTTAACCTGTGGAACTCCTTTCCAGAGGATGTTGTGAAGGCCAGGATTTTAAGTGAGTTCAAAAAATAACTAGATAAATTCACATAGGATAGATCTATCAATGGCTATTAGCCAGGATGGATAGGAATGGTGTCCCTAGTCTTTGTCAGAAGCTGGAATGGACCACTTGATGATTACCTGTTCTGTTCATTCCCTCTGGGGCACCTAGCACTGGCTACAGTTGAGAGACAGGATACTGGGCTAGATGGAACTTTAGTCTGACCCAGTATGGCCATTCTTATGTTCTTATGGTTAAAGCAGTGCAGTCCCTCAATGTGGATGCAGATACACTGGTATAAAGGTGCTTATATCAATATAGCTGTTCACCATAAAACTTCAGTCTTTAATTTAAAACTATGGGAATTAACCATACAAATTGTATTAGTACCTTTGTACTAGTATAAGTGCCCACAACGAAAGGGTTGTACTAAACACAAAAACTGTGTATAGATGGTTTCTAGGTATTCATTTGGGTCTTTCATAGAATCATAGAATAATAGGACTGGAAGGGACCTCGAGAGGTCATCGAGTCCAGCCCCCCGCCCTCAAGGCAGGATCAAGCTCCGTCTACACCATCCCTGACAGATGTCTATCTAACCTGTTCTTAAATATCTCCAGAGAGGGAGATTCCACCACCTCCCTTGGCAATTTATTCCAATATTTGACCACCCTGACTAGTGCAGCAGAAGCCTCCTGGGCAAAAGCAGAATGGAAGAGCCAGCCCAAAGCAGAATGCGTAGAGTTCCACGACCCATTTATTCCCAACTTTGAACCCTGCTTACAGGGTACAAGACAACTGTATTTGGTAGAGAGCCTTTCATGCAAAATGTATTCCTAAACCCTTTAAACAATTACATAGCAAATGATAGCAGGAAGAGAGAGACATGAAGAGGTACAGACAGGAGAGAAAGTCAATGTGCTGATATCAGTGATGAGTGATAGATGAATAGATATTTGCAGTGTTGTAGCAGTGTTGGTTCCTGAACATTTGAGACAAGGAGGGTGAAGTAATATATTGTATTGAGCCAACTTCTGTGGCAAACCTGTAAAAAATCTCTGTGTAACCGTGAAAGACTATCTCTTTCACCCATAGAAGTTGGTCCAATAAAAGATATTACCTCCATTAGTCTAAATTCTTCCCTCGTGTACATCAACTGTAGTGCAACTCCAGAGGAGAATTTGGCTCTATACCCACTTTCAGACTAGATGAGTAGTTACTTGATACAGAGACACACAGGTGGACAGTCCTGGTGACAGATGCTGCTTTTGTATCAACAACAGCAAGAAGTGATAGAGAAAAGGCCAGGTCTAGATGAGTGAAGGAGGTTGGAAAAGGTACAAAAAGAGAGTGAGAGAGCGGTTTCTAGACAGTTATTGAGTTATTGGAGAGGGCGCAGAGAAGAGCCACAAGAACAATTGCCTTGTGGGACTAGATTTCACCAGCTCAAACAATCTGTTTAGCTTAACAAAGCGAAGGATAAGGGATGACTTGATTACAGTCGGTAAGTCCCTACATGAAGAACAGAAATGTGATCATATGTCTTTAAATTATTGGACAAAGATAGAAACATATTCAGGGGCTGAAAGTTGAAACTTGACAAATTCAGAGCTTGTTTACACTTATCCCTGGCCTGGGTCCTGGGCTAATGTACACAGTTAAGACAATGTAAGCTGCCTTGTGTCAACCCAGCTTTGGAAGAGTCTTCACTTAAATTTGGCTTCTGCAGATGTAAATGATTCTCTATTGCAATTTAGTAGCACTACCTCCCTGAGCGTCACAGTGTCAAGGTCAATGTAATTAGGCAATGCAGTATCAGTGTGTAGACACTACTTTGCTTAGGCTGACTGTTACAGGAGACATCCCACAATCCCCCAGGATGACAATAGAACGGATACAAGTGCTCCTGGTGAGGACTTACTCCGCTGACCCAAGAAGCTAAGCATCGATTAGGTTGACATAATTCTGTAGTGTAGAAGACATGGCCTTACAGTTCTAGACCTGTGCTGCTGTAGCACTTAGTGAAGATATGATCTATGTGGATATGATCAGAGCCAGGCACCCCACAGCGTCCCCCATCCAGGAGCAGTCCTAGACGAGATGCCGGCAACTGGCGCCCTAGGTGAAATGCGCGATTGGCGCCCCCGCCTCCAAAGCCCTCAACAGTCGTTTTTCTTGGCACCCTAGGTGACCGCCTAGTTCGCCTGTATTGATGGGCTGCCACTGCCCCCATCCCAGTGCACTCACCCCTCCCCCGAGCCAGGCATCCCTAGTGCCAGGAGTGCCCCACCCCAATCAAATCCTCCCTCCACCCTCCCCCCCGCAGAGCCAAGCACTGGAGGAATAGGATGGCTGGGTAAGGAAATCTTACTTTTAAAGTTGCCGCTCCTGCCGCCCGGCCTGGCTGCCTCAGCTTACAGTGTGTAGATGGAGGCATCACATTGTCAGCTCCCGGGTCTCTGTGCAGAGTCACGTGGGCCAGAGTAGTGTGCGCTCTGCTCCTACCACAGCCCAGCGCCCCCTAGCGTGGCGCCCGGGGGCAAGTGTCCCCTCTTGCCCCCCCCCCTTCGCTACGCCTCTGCCATGCTCTCACTCCCCTGCCTCCGCTAGACGTAGTAGGGGAAAATTGTCCCCACCGAGCTTCCATCCGAGGGAAACAGGAATTTCTGGATATTTCGCATGTCTGGTATTTTCTGTTTTTTTTTACTGGACAGAAGCGGCAAATACCACACTGTCCGGGCCAATACTGGACACC